GCATTTTCACCTGGCAAACGTAATCCATTAAAATCTTTTGGTAATCTATTTCGTGAAAGATATATTGGTGGTGCATCACGACCAGAATTTGGTGGAAGAATTTCACGAATTTCCATTGTATCATCTATGAATAAGAAAAGAAAAAAAATAGTTTTTTTTTTATTAATAAATTTTGTTGTTTCCTTTTTTTTTCTTCTTTCGTTTGTTACCTGCAAGAAAATAATGTACAACTAAATTTCGTACATCACCATATAAACTTTCAGTATCATCCCAAACACCCCAAAAACGTAAGACATGTGTATCATGATTAATAAATTGTTTTAATGTATCAATTCTTTCATATGGACGAAGTGGATTTTGAGTACCATCAGACTAGTAAATTAAAATTATTTATGAGACGGAAGTAATGAAATACTTGTTGAAATGAGAAAATATAAATTATTGGAAATGTTAAATAATTTCAAGAGCAAACATTTAGCTATTAATAAAGAAATTAAATCAGGAAGTCTATGGCAGTTATATGAAATAACTTTGAGTAGTTCTTATTCTATCCTATTCAATGGACGATGTCTTTATTTGTTTGTTTTTGACATTTTGTTAGTAAAAGACTCGTTGATGTCTTTGCAACTCGTTGATTTTCTGACCTTGACATTTGCTGAAAAGATTGCTGCAAGACGTTCGGTTCTTATCCTGCTTTGTAGAATGCTATTTCGCTGTTTACATTATGCAAAGAAATAGGTAATATGAGCTCTTTGATAAGGGTATTATTGCGCTTAAGAATGTATACTATCTAGGTAATAATCCAAAACATTTCAGAAGGTAATTGCAGTCAAGCAAAAAGCAGTGAAAGTAAGTTAAATGACGTGTTTTTATGACGAAAATAAGAAAAGTAGCATACAATCGATTTCAAATCGAGTACGATCAGATTTGCCGTTTCTAAATCTGTTAGCTCAATTACTTCCGTCGAATGAGTCTTACAAAAATTTCAAGCATAGGTTCTGAAAGAACACACAATTTTGATTTCAACCCAATGCTTCAAATTTTTCTGCTGACTTCTATAATGTATTGCAACAATGAGAAAAATCTTTTCGTCCAGAAACTTACACACCACCCATTATATTATGACTGGAGATATCAGATGAAAATATTGGTCAATATGTAAGTTTTTTTTTTTTGCCTTACTCTATTAAAATAAGACCGTTTACAATGTCTTTCGAGTTTATTTTTAGTTGAGTACGGTCATACAAAGATCTACATATATATGTGTATATACTGCATAACTTTTACCCATTTGTTACTGAAGAGGTACAATTCTTAAGATTTATATTCTTTTACTAATACTTACTACTTGCCGATGTTTAAGAAATGGATCTTCCGGTGCCGAAAAACCTAAACATATATTTTTTCGTTTTTGAATAAATCATTCAACATTCTTTATTTATTTCATACCTGGTGGTACACGTACACCAAGTTTTGTTAAAAAGTTTCGTGTAAATTGATCGCAATCAATTAATTTGTATACACGTCCATAGAGTGATACTTCAGCTCCAACATTAAATTGATCATATGTGTAAAATCGATCATCATTAGGTGCTGGCAATGGTACACGATGACGTTTAAGAATTGTACCCTGAGGGAAACCAACATTATTTTGACGTTGTTCAACAACTAAAAAATAGAAATGATTATATTATTAAATAATTGTATTAGTAGAATAAAAAGACCTTGAACTGTGTCATCTTCTGGATAAAAGTAAACTCGACATTTTCGAATACGATATTGTTCTTCTGGACGTTCAGTTATTGATTCTTGAAAATAAGCATCAAAACAAAGAACTTGTTTATCAAAAGCAAGCCAAGCTGGTCGATCAGGTCCTTCGCCTAGAAAGAAATTTTAATAATAATTATTTAGATGATGATTAATCTATCGTTTCTTTTTTTTTTCGTTTTACCTCGTGGATAAACAGAATTTTTTGGTCGAAGATCTTCACCTGCTAATGGTACACCACCAACACCCAATTTATTACCTGTTAACATACCTACACCATTGTACTTATCAAATTGATGTGTTAAATGAAATTTATCTTTGCCAATCTTAAAAAAACACAAAGAATATTTAATTATTTTCTTGTCTCTAATTAGAAAAGTGATAATTACTTTTCGTTCAAATGTGTTGCCAGGTAAAAATGGTAACGCCATGTTTGATCAATAAAAGAACTGATACTGTTGTCGAGTGAAGTGGCTTTTTTTTGTACTATATACATGTGAAAAACATTCGTAAACATGGTCGTTAAGCAATGGACTTCGTATTATACGACCATAAGCGACCTCTTTTTATTGTGAAAAAAATTAATTATATTTTGAGATACATTAATTAATGTTTGAGCTTCTTATAATATGATATGAATTCTTGAAGCATTAATGAATATGAACTATTTTTAGACGAAAAAAAGAAAGGAAAGATTATATGAAGTTAATATATTGAAAACGGAGAAAGAAGACAGAGAAGAAACAATAAAAATAGTAATGTTTGCATGCATTTATATTGCTGATAGGTTTTAGTAGAAAATCATTTTCTTTTACAATGCAATATATTTTTTTTTCAGGAAAACATTATTATTAAATTAGAATATAGAATACGATAAATATTGATTGACTTTAACACATCTTATTTTTCATGATGATGTTTGACAAAGAAAAGAATCCATATAATTATATGATATTGATTGATAAAATGTGACCTTAGCATTAATTTGATGTCATGCAAGGCTATGGAAAAAGCAGAGAACGTCCATGATCCTTATGTTCTCAGATAGTTATCTTGCTTATATACTAATAATATTCAGACTATCAACACATAAGCAAAGGAATGCATAGAGATAGAAAAAAAGAGACAGGAGAACAGCTAAAAAAAAATAATTGCGAACAACATTCTCTTGTAGTGGGAATATGAAGCTGTTCTTCGTCGGAATATAATTGAAGTTTGTATTTGAAAGAGTACGAAGAAATATGCTATTGCTTTTATTATTTTTCTTTCCCTTGTCTTTCAATGGTTGTATTGTATTGGAAGCGAGTATTAATTTGACAGCACCCTATGAGCTGTTGCTTGCATAGAAAATCAAGAATATGAATTGTTTAGAGTTGTGATCCCGACACAGTTGCGCATGTATTTACGAAACTAATGTTTGCAGACGACGCCGAGTATTGGACTTTCCCCGTCGATTGATTTTATATAAATATGTATTTTGACAACTATATCTGTATATAGATCAAATATATGCCCTTCTGTTTATTGTTATTTTTGATGTCTTTGTTGTTGCTAAGGTAGTGTTTGAAATAGTACAAACCCACAAAAAGGATAATTATTACCATCACCATATGCAATCGTGACTTGAGCGTAGATAAGCATTCACATGCATATAAAAAACACCTACCAATCATGTAGGCTTTATTAGTTTTTTTTTTATACACTAATCTAGTAAAAAAAACTAAATGAAGAAAAACAGGTATATTCATATGTAAATGACATGACCAATAAATCAAAAAGAAAGTAGCAACAAAAGATATTTTGAAAGAAATATTTCGTAAATTAATCATCTATATGCAAATAATAAGTATTAGGAATATAAAAATTAGTAGAATGAAGTAACCTTTTTTTTTCATTTTTCTTTCTCTTTTTTTTTCTAATCTTGTGGTTAAATACTAATTTTTATGTAGAACACCACTTGGTCGTATTATTGAGCACATCGAGCGAAAGATTTTTCTTACGAGGCATGAAACCAGAAATGAGGAAAAAAAGAAAAGAATTTGATAGGAAAATCAATTATTTTATTTGATCATGTTTAAGATTAGTTTGAGTCGGAAAGATGCTTGTTTATATATATTTTTTCGGAATAGAATCATTTTTTCCGAGACAAATATAATTCTATCAAACAGTACTCAAAAGACGAATGAATAGCTAATTGTACTAAGAGAGAGAGAGAGAGAAAAAAAAACTCAATAGTAAAATCTCAATCAGGTATTTTGTTTTGTTCTATCTATCGTTCAAATAAACCATTCTTAAGACACATGTCAATCTTTGTTTTTTTTTCTATTTTTGTAGTTATTGATGATGATGATGTGTTTGCTATTTTTTCTGTTTATGACAACCAGCTAACTATTCTTGAAAATCAGAGAGAAAAAAGCAACTCATCATTTGTAGAAGCCACACCAACAAGATAGTAACAACCAAAAGAAAAAAAAAGAAAAACGATGAGGATGTAAAAAATAAAAAAAAGAAGATACACAAGATTTCGAACACTACAGTGTAGATTGAGAATTACCATTGTCATACGTCACAAGTAATGCATTTATTCACATTGCTCTATAAAACACATAGTTGTTGCTTTAGGCTAAACAACTTCGTATAGACCATCTTCTACGATGATGTTATTTTTTTGTTTTGCATGTATGTCATTACTAAGAATATGACATTCTTTTTATGAGTTCTTATATTTATGTCATGCAAGATTCACAAATAATAGATATACGTGAAATAATGATCTGTTTTCTATTTTTCTGTTAATGATTTTTCTCACTTATATTTTAGATGAGGAACAATTAAGTTATTTTTGCATTCTCTTTACATTATGTAGTTTTATGTTTCTCTATGATTCAAACATTACTAAGAATCCATCCAAGACTAACGTAGCATCCGCAATAGCAACGAATTACTTCAGAACGACAAACTACGAGCAAAGAGGAAAAAATCCTAAGAACGCAACAACTCCGACTAGATTATAAGAAAGCATTAAGGAAACGTTACTGCTGTCATTATTATTCATATATCTTCTACGATTACTACAGCTACTAGAATCAATACATTTTTGCTGCTTGATAATCAGGTAGTTGGAGAAGGAGAAAAAGAAAGCAAATAGAATAGGGGGAAAATGAGATTCTTTCGTGTTTATTTTCTTTTCTTTTCTGATAAATAAATTATTTATTCATGTCTTAGTTAGAATTATGGCAACACTAACTGAAGGAAACGAGCAACAGCAAGAACAAACTTGTAATTCATCAAATCGATCACCCTATCATGTCAAATTTACTGACAATAATCAAAATTATCCGCAACGCCAAAATAGCACAAATCAAGATGATTTATCATCAACATCTCGACATGGTTTGTATTTAAAAAATCGAACGTTTTTCTTGTGTTTTATTTTCTGAATAGAGGAAAAAAAAACTGTTTTTCTATAATTGTTGGATGATGATGGTGATGATGATAAGCAATCTATATTATATTGTTAATTGTTCTTTCGTGTGTATTTTTGAAGCATACGTTTTATTTCTGCTTGAGTAGTAGAGAAAAATGTCATATTCAATTATTTGCTCTTTAATCCTTTTTATAACCGTAAAAGCGTAGTGAGTGCAAAAAAAAAGTTTGAAATGTTTTCATTTGAATTGTTGAAGGTAAAATAGCAAGAAGTGATTAGGTGTAATGAGTGAGCTAACAATAATTGTAATCAAAGAAAAAACAATTGCATCTATTTTTGTTTTCTTTAGGTTCATTATCATCTACTGAAAAAAGTGGACGTTTTGTTGTTGTTAAATCATCTGAAGTGTCAGATACAAATGAAAATGGTAAATTAAAAATATTTAATATATATATACTTGAGAAAAAAAAAGAATTATTTTAAGACGTAGTTAGTAATGTAAATTTAACAAATGAAAATGAAAAACTACCATTACAAACTGGACAAGCATCTGAATGTTCCATTAAATTAAATGAAAGTATTTTTGAAGTATGTAAAATTCTTCTTTTCATTAGAGAAAAAATAACAGAATAGAAACTTCATTTATTTATTCGAAGGAACGTGACGATCGACCACGAACAGTACTGGATCAACTATATAATTATAGAGGTGGTATTGTACCAAATGCAGCAGAAGCTGAAAAACCAACAGGACCTCATCAGGTTTGTTTTTAATAAAGAAAAAAAAAAAACAAATAGAAAATTTCTTATTCTAGAAATCAGCAAATCTTGGTACAATATTTGGTGTTTACCTTCCATGTGTTCAAAATATATTCGGTCAGATATTTTTAAATTATAAAATTCATTTGAAATTATTTTATTTTTTTAATTTTAGGTGTTATTGTATTTATTCGTCTTTTTTGGTTAATTGGCATTGCCGGTGCACTTCAAACACTCTTGATTGTTCTTATTTGTAGTTCATGCGTATGAAGCAAAAAGAATTATTTAATAGAATTAATTTATTGTTTTTGTTTTTTTATTCAGACTCTTCTAACAGCTATTTCAATGGCAGCTATTGCTACAAACGGTCTAGTGCCAGCCGGTGGAGCTTATTTTATGATATCACGTTCCCTTGGACCTGAATTTGGTGGTGCCGTTGGAATATTATTCTATCTTGGTAATACATTTGCTGCTTCCATGTATATTGTTGGAGCTGTTGAAATTGTCGTCGTATGTAAAAATTTAATTAATAATTTCTTTTGTTTTTCAAAGTTTTGGTTTTTTTTTTTTTTAAAGAAATATATGTGTCCAGAAAAATGTCGCCTTTTTGGTGATGATGTTGAAAAACCATTAATAGCCTTTAATCATTATCGTATATATGGTACTATACTTCTTCTACTAATTGGAACGTGTGTTTTAATTGGTATTCGATTTGTAACAAGAATTGCTCCATTGTCATTATTTGCTGTTGTCATATCTATATTGGCTATATATGCTGGTGTTATTAAAAGTTCATTTAGCCCACCGGATTTACCGTAAATTGAATTACTTTTTTTTTGTCTTATTTTAAAAAATTAAATTAAGACAAAAAAGAAACAATATCTTCTTTTTTGTTGTTTTTTTTTCTTTCATAGTATTTGTCTTGTTGGTTCAAATCCAAGTCATTTAATAAAATCTAATGTATTACAGAATGATATACGTCACTATTGTCATGGAATTCAATGGTGTAACGAAGGTAATGAAACTAGATTATGTCCACTTTATGCATCTATATGTAATAATAAATCATTAAATACATTATGTGCCAGTGATCATATAAATGATGTTCGAATTGAACAAGGTGTACCCGGATTAAAACATTGGCAATTATCCGGTACGATTATTTCGTTCTTGTTTTCTTTTTATTAAATACAGAATCAAGAATTTAGTTTTATAGAAAATCTTTTTTCACATTATCGTGCTGAAGGTGAAATTGAACGTGATATAAAAGGTGATGCAACATTTGAAGTTGTTGCACAAGAATTAACAACATTTTTAATACTAGTTGGTATTTATTTTCCATCAGTTACCGGTAAAAAAAAAAAAAAAGCAAAAGATTACTTCTTTTGAAATATAAAATCAATAAATGTTTTATTAGGCATTATGGCTGGTTCAAATCGTAGTGGAGATTTACGTGATCCAAGTCGAAGTATTCCACGTGGAACTATTGCTGCTATATTAACAACATCATTTGTTTGTATGAATAGTTTTATTAATAATGGATGAGTCGAAACTTTTGAGACATTTTCGATTGATTCAAGAGGTCAGCTAAATTTTTAAAAATATCGGATTAGAATCAGAATTTGTTGCACTTTCCAAATCTAGGCACTTTCTAAGATTTGCTCATAACTCCTAAAATATGGATCTAATCAAAAATTTCGAACATAGATTTGAAAAGAGCACAAAACTTTGATTTAAAACCAATATTTTATAGCTTTTACTGACCATCTCAATTGGTTGAAAAATGAAAATACATTTTATGTCAAAACTTTCAGTCTACACGTTTATCATTGGTGGATCTAGAATTTTGATAAATAGGAGCAATCATTGTGACAAAACATATTGTCGAGTTCAGTTAGAGATTGTATTGACTCATCTTAGATCGTTTTCTGTTGAAAAAATCGATAAAAATAGTTTGGAAGGAAGTGGTGATTGCCTACTAGTGGTCTTCTCTAAATCCGCCACTGATTAACATATTTTATATTTCTCATTAATTTATTATTATTTGTGTTTAGATTTCTCAAATGTAATTTTTTTGGCAGCATGTATACATGGTTCATTATTAAGAGATAAATTTGGTGATAGCATTAATAAACAATTAGTTGTGTCAGTTTTAGCATGGCCAAGCAAATGGGTTATTATGATAGGAGCGTTTTGTTCGACGGTTGGAGCTGGTTTACAAACGTTAACAGGTAAAAATTTTCAATGAAAAAAAAAGTTTATTTATTGAAATAAATTTTGATTTCTTTTTTTTGCGAAAAGGTGCACCAAGACTTTTACAAGCGGTAGCTAAAGATGATTTGATACCAATACTTCGTCCATTAGCAAAATCTTGGCGGGGTGAACCAATACCAGCACTTTTTCTTACATTATTTATTTGTGAATGTGGAATTTTAATAGCTGATGTCGATAAACTTACAGCACTTCTATCAATGTAAATTGGAAAAAAGGAAACAGATTATTCAATTGTACGATCGGTATTTTCATTAGATTATTTGATCTATGTTGAAAAATGCTGATAATACAATTTTCTATTTAAATAATCGAATAAAAGTCTAACCAATATTTTCTATGTTATTTTAGGTTTTTTTTATTATGCTATGGATTTGTTAATTTAGCTTGTGCATTACAAACTATTTTAAAAGCACCTAGTTGGCGACCACGTTTTCGTTTTTATCATTGGTAAAATCGAAAACTAAAATATAAAAAAAAGAAATCATTACTACATTATTTATTTTTCTTTAGGATTCTTTCTAGTATAGGTGTACTTCTTTCTGTTTCAATTATGTTTATTGCTTCATGGTATTTTTCTCTTATTGCTATGTTGATTGCAATAATCATATATAAATTTATTGAATATAAAGGGTATAAAAATAAAAACAAAGAAACCTTTTGAAAGTGTTTCATCTATATATTTATGTATTGATATTTAGAGCGGAAAAAGAATGGGGAGATGGTATACGTGGTTTATCCATGTCAGCAGCTCGTTATGCATTATATCGTGTTGACGAAGCTCCACCACATACAAAAAATTGGAGACCTCAATTACTTGCATTTATTAGTATTGAAAGAAATGATGAAAATGAAACATATACATTACGTCATTCGACAGTATTCAATTTTCTTTATCAACTTAAAGCTGGTATATATAAATATTACAACATAAATATCATTTATTTATTATTTTATAATAGGAAGAGGTTTCGTTGTTGCAGCAAGTGTTTTAGAAGGTGATTATCTTGATAAATATCAACAGATTGAACCAGTTCGTGCAGTAAGTATTACTTGAAAAGGTTTTTTTGTTTCTTAAATAAATAATACGTACTTCGGGCATATTAAAAGTAGTGGCAGTAACACTATAATACGTTATGGAAGGCTCAAGGAAATTCTCTCTCTCTCTCTCTGTATATATATATATACTGATAGGACAGACAGTGATTTATAATCTCATAATAATATTTTATTATCCTTGAGTTAGCATGATAGTAGTAGACTTTGATTAAAGCTGTTCAACTCTGCTTTAAATAGATTTGAAAAGTTTTCGGAAAGATCTGTGACTGAGAGACATCAGAAAAAATCCAACACATCCATTGTCTTAGTAATGATAATGTTGATATTAAAATCGAAAAATTACAAACGCAAACTGATCGGAATGTATATGATCTTTCAACTGTTATGAGAGGAGAGCCTGGTTGCTGAAAATAAAATTTGATTTAGTACGAACTTAGATATAGAAAACGAAAGTTTTCCTTATCCATTTAATTGTAAGAGAACAGTTTTGATCGAAATTCTAATATTATCATACTAACTAAAGAATAATGCATTACTATAGAATTATAGAGCATTTTTTGAACTAACAAAATATATAGAAATAGCAAATTAGCTGAAAGCTTCTATGAGATATTATAATCTTACATTCACTATTTTTGATATACCCTAAGCATATCATGATTAATGAAATGAACATTAACTTTACGTAGGTTGACAAGAAAAAATTAAGAAAATGATTAGGTATTACAATCCTATTATATTTATCAGGAATTTAGCTTATATATTAATATAATAAATTTTATATTCATGATTAAAATGAACTAAGAAATGTTTCTCATATATAAAAATCAGAATTTTATGCATGATGTAGGTTTTGTAGAGATATCAATGGTTCAAATTAAGTTTAGCTTAATTATATAATTCCTTTTAGATAGATTTGAATAATAAAAGGTCAAACATCATTTTAAAATTTTGCATATATATCATTTCTATAAAATTACAGATATAAGTTCATTTTTGATATTGATAATTTTAGTTATTAAGATCTGGTTTGGCTCAAGCTAAAGTACAAGGTTTTGCTGAAGTATTGGCTGCTAAAGATGTTGAAGATGGTATTAGTACATTGTATGTAGACTATTATTTAATCTCTAACGTAATAGTCTTATTATTTTGTGAAACACGACTTAAAAGGAGTGTTACGCTATGCAAGATAGAAATTCGCACCCTCATCCCCAAAGTTCACAGTAGAAATTATCATAGCAAACGCCACAGACTATGACAGACAGTTTAGCATCGACACATCACAAACTATGATAGGCATAATAGAACAATTTCCTTAGAATTAGCAACTGCAGCTATATCGTGTTTCACATTGTATTCTATAGGGATTATGCTAATAGCTTGTTTTTATATAGAATTCAAACGGAAGGTTTAGGTGGTTTAAGACCAAATACAATTGTTCTCTGTTGGCCGGCACAATGGAAAAAAGATTTTGATGGTTTTGCAGCTGAAGCATTTATTCGTATGGAAACGTTTCTTTTTTTGTCTATTAATTTTTCATTATAAAGANAGTATTGGCTGCTAAAGATGTTGAAGATGGTATTAGTACATTGTATGTAGACTATTATTTAATCTCTAACGTAATAGTCTTATTATTTTGTGAAACACGACTTAAAAGGAGTGTTATGCTATGCAAGGTAGAAATTCGCACCCTTATCCCCAAAGTTCACAATAGAAATTATCATAGCAAACGTCACAGACTATGACAGACAGTTTAGCATCGACACATCACAAACTATGATAGACATAATAGAACAATTTCCTTAGAATTAGCAACTGCAGCTATATCGTGTTTCACATTGTATTCTATAGGGATTATGCTAATAGTTTGTTTTTATATAGAATTCAAACGGAAGGTTTAGGTGGTTTAAGACCAAATACAATTGTTCTCTGTTGGCCGGCACAATGGAAAAAAGATTTTGATGGTTTTGCAGCTGAAGCATTTATTCGTATGGAAACATTTCTTTTTTTGTCTATTAATTTTTCATTATAAAGATATTGAATAGGTACTATTGCTATTGCTGAAGCTCGTAAATGTGCTGTAATTGTTCCGAAAAATATTGATAATTTTCCAGATTCTAAAGAAAATCAAGACGGTACAATTGATATTTGGTGGATTATACATGATGGTGGCCTTCTTTTTCTTATTGCTTTTCTATTAAAACGTAATAAAGTTTGGTCACGTTGTCGGATACGTCTATTTACTGTGACACAAATTGAAGATAATTCAATTGCTATGAAAAGAGATCTTGAACAATATATGTATCAATTACGTATTGAAGCAGAAGTAGATGTTGTTGAAATGGTTTGTTTGTTTGTTTTTTTGTTTTCGTTTTGATATTTTAATAATACTAAAGACTATTTTATTTTTAGGCAGATCAAGAAATTTCAGCATATGCTTATGAAAAATCACTTAGATTAGCTGAACGTATTAAATTACTTAAAGATTTGAAATTAGGTGATAAAGATCTCCAACTTCAAGTAGGTCATTAAAAAATATACAAAAATTTCATTATTGAATAATAAAATACTAAACATAATCACTGCATATATTTATATAGGCAATAGGATTTGAACGCCGAACGAGCAAAGTAATTAATTTGAGATTTAATTTAGCGACATTCTCTATATGTAATAATTAGCTATTTATTAATATACTAATCTGATTATTCATTTTTGTTTTTACTAAAGCATGTTATGTGATTTGTACTGCTTTTACTTCGTTATTTAATAATTATTTCATATAGAAATATTTTTGATTAATTTTTTTAGTCTCAAATACCTATGGAAACAATGATAAACAATCAACAACGACGACAATCTAGCCTTGATGAACACAATAATCAATATCATTATACATTTACACCAGATCAATTAGAAAGTTTTAAAAAAAATGTGTAAGTATGCAATTAAAACTAAATATAAAATTATAAAACAAAAGTTTTGTTAGAACTGATTCATCTATGCGTAAAATGCATTCAGCTGTAAGACTCAATGAACAAATTAAAGAACGTTCACGTGATGCTAAACTTGTTCTTATTAATCTTCCATCACCACCATCGAAACAATCAAGTTTAGCTGCATATTCTTATATGGAATACGTCGATGCATTAACAGAAGGTTTAGATAGATTATTATTAATGCGTGGTAGTGGACGCGAAGTTATCACAATATTCTCTTAAGAAATCAGTGTTCTTTGCTACACAATACTTCAATTGATGAACATCCAATATTGAATTTTTTTTCCGTTGTGTGATTTTGTAGTCATCGTTTTAATGTATGTCTGTGTGTTGTGTTGGTAGTCATCTAGTATGAAATATATTTAGTATTTTAATTGAGTGTCTTTTTTTGTAACCATAAGCTTATATTTTGAAATATTGACTTTTTAGTTTTGTTGACATATACAATATCAAGAATGTTGATATGTTTCAACAAAAGCCATCTTTTAATAATGATATTTATTTTGTTTTTCAATAGAGCGATGTAGAATATTTCTTCTCTGGCAATTTTCCACATATGAATTTAAACAAATATATCATTCATAGATGAAATATTATCTCGGAAAGATATGTAACAAATGATCAAGAAAATGATAGTTACACTCATTAGATAATGTTAAGAAAGATATCATTATATGAATATTTAGTAGACATGTAAGTTCGATGATCTTTCTGTATAGATTTGATTGTAACAAAAAAAAATTTCTTTTTTAATTCAATTAAAAGAAAAAAGATTAATATACGTGATTAAGTTTACAATAAAACCTAGTACTTATGTTTTCTCTATAAAGTCATGAAATATACAAAAAATATAATTTAATGAAAAGTATACAATTATAGGTGAAGTATAACAATTTCGAGAAGAATACCTGAAAACTATATTTTAGTCTCAATCTATTTAATTACAAACAAGGATAAATAATGAAAATATTTTTTTTATTCAAGTTTAAAGCTTATATTTAAAATTACAATTGCTTGAGAAACAACAATTTTTTTACTTATGTTGTCTCAAACGTTTCGTATTCATAAAAGTTATAATATATATAAGATAAAGTATCGAAGTTATTTTTCTTAAGTTAAATGGGCAAGACTCATTTATTTGAATAAGTTCATTAGAATAATACTTTAGACAAATATGCAACTGAATAACAGATCTATTTTTCTATAACAAAAATCAATGATGCATAAGATATTACTTGTAAGAGGAGTAAAAAAATTAAAATGTAGTAAAATGGTGTGTAACAAAATAATGTATTTGCTCATCTATTAAAATGAAGAAAAACGTATCTATTATAGAAATTCATGAATTTTCGACTTTATTTCAAAGTCATATTCAGATGAAACTAATTAATCTAGACCGACTTGAACAAAACCACTTGAACGATCATTACTACCTGTTTTACTAATATTAACGTCATAACTATCTTCATTAACATATTCAACATAACCTGCTTTAGATGTTTCTTATAATTCAAATGTGCTCATAATGACTACAACATGTAATAATAAATTAGTAAAACAAGTAATGATAATCGTTCAAGTGGTTTTGTTTAAATCTGTTTGGATTAAGTAGTTTCATCTGAAGAAGACTTTGANCCTTCTCAAACAACCAGAAAGTACAAAGATGCGTATACTTATCCCAATAGAAGCACATGTTTTGGGTGTGGGTGGGTGTGTGGGTATTGGGTAAGAGAAGAAGCACCCACACCCAAAACATGTGCTTCTATTGGCATAAGTATACGCATCTTTTTACTTTCTGTTTGTTTGAGAACGAGAGGGAGCAGGATAAAAATCACTGAAGCGCATCTATCCGAGATTATTTTAATAGAAAATGTGCGTGCGTATCTTTTTTCTCTTTTTATTTTACCTATTTGTTTTATATATTTTGATGATTTCTTTCGTCTTTTTTGAGAATCATTGAAATTTTTCATTTGATTTCTTCCCTCTTTTTGTTTTCTATTTTGCTATACCAAACGAAGACAACTGCGTAATTTTGCTGTTTACGTCCGAATCCTAAATTTTACGGTTTATATGATAATAACTCCGGTTTATTAGGAGCTTATTTGGGTTTCAGTTTATAAAACTTTAGCTTTTTCGAAAAAAGCTATTCTAGTAAAAACATCTTATTAATAATGAAGATTTTTGTACGACCCTCAGTTACTAAAATACCTTGTTCAACTACATGATGCGTTTGAAAACGACAGAGACCCTCCATCTTTTGTTTTTGAAAGAACTTATTTATTCGGTCCTTTTATCATAACGTCGAAAATTCTTTCCGAAAAATAGAATAAGTTCAGCCTCCCCGAGCCAAATGGCTCCGCCGCCTTTGTGCTTATTCTATATCGTCCTTACTTAATAACATAAACCTCATCTGAAAAGCTGTTTATCGTCTGGAAAGGTTCACTCGTCAGATAAATGTGTTAACTTTCAGATATTTATATAATTGAAAAAATATATATTTAATCCTTTAATGATTTAGTTCTTTAGTAAGGTAACATTATTATATCGAGAGTTTTTTTTACTATGATTAGATTTTATTCATCAGTTATTTTCTAATTATATTCTTCAATTTTCTTTTCTAAAGATTGACGTAAATTTTATGGATACTGAACTCTCATCGGATGAAAAACATCGTAATGATGAAATCATTACAATGCCAAACATATCTCATCAAACAACTGAATTAGATAATACTGATAATCAGAAAAGCTTCAAGAGAACTATCAAACTACAGTATGTATTATTATTATTATTATTAATTTGATTCAGATCAACATTTCTTCTTTGATTAAGAAAAAGACTTTCCTCGTACGCAAAACTAAATGGCATGCATGTTTGTTTTTTTGGAATATTCACCAGCATAGCAATTATTGTTGGAGTATTGATAGTTTGTTTTACTTCACCAAAACCAAGTATGTTTCTGATTTCTTATTTTTGATAAATGATGTGATTATTGAGATGTCTATTAAATTTGAAAAAAATATCTCAAATATATTATAAATAAAAATCATTTTTAGTTTAAATCAATATTTACTTTGAATTGTTTATTCAATCAGAAATATATGAGAAGATTTATTCATCAGAATATATATAACCTTTCGGAATCAGGTCAATTTATGAATATACTATTTTAATGCCTTTTTCTGCTGAATTTCAATGATCATATCTGTATCAAAATTTCTTTTACAGTTTTTCTTAGAACATGATTTTCAATAAGAAAAATAAAAACTTTGTTTTACTTGACTCAAGATATAATCAGTATGTCGTTTTTTGTTTTAAATGTCTAAATGAGAGTAAAATTTTGTCGGATCAGTTTTTTTAGTTGATTTCTGTGTTGAGAAAAGCAAGGTTTAGTGTCTTGAACTTATCTGTTTTTGCTTATTTTAAGACTATATATACTAAAGTGATCATAAAAATGACTGTAAGCGAATTTCAAAAAATGCTGTTTGAAAGAAAACTGCGCACAGATATTGGGCTTAATTTGAAATCGCCCTAAGCTTTGAACCCTTTGTCGTAACGAAGTTATAGGGATTTTCTTGAATGTCATAAATGGAAACGTTCCATGTCGTCAATTTTCCATTAAACTTAACGGTTGTCAGCAGTTTATAAAAATATCGACGGTGATTGCTACTGAAAAGTCGTTTTCAATATGTCACGGTATATTTTGTCAGATCGCACCACACTTTTTCCTATTGATCAAGTCTTCTAACTGAAGACTAGTCAAAAAACAGCCTATGTGGTTAATAGACACGACATGAGAGGTTTGCATGACACGGAGTTTCTCACTAGGGTCACTCATTCCTAAAAGTTTCAGTCTAAATCGACCATTATAAGTAGTAAATCGATTGAGAGGAGGAGAATTCTTAATAAATCAAGAAAATATGTTGTGTACCTTCAATTGATTCTCAACTGAAATCACCATTTCTTTCAAATGAAAGTTCCAAATAATGATAAATTTTATTTGATTGTATAAGCTAGCATCGAAATGTCTATGTTATTCGTTTTCATCTAACTTTTTTATTAGTGAAACAATATAATTCATTAATAGATGAAAATCGATCATTCATGTTTAATTCACTTAAAATTGTGTTTGTATTTTTAGAGGAAACGTGTGAATTTACCTTCAAACGAAGGATGAAAAGTTCATTAATCTTTAGTTCACAACCACGATCTGTCGCTGTCGGTGATTTTAACAATGATCATAAAATAGATATTGTTGTAGCGAATTCTGGTACAAACACGATTGGAATATTTCTTTCACAAGACGATGGAACTTTTACAAATGAACAAATATATTCAACTGGACTCGACTCTCGTCCTTATTCACTTGTCGTTAATGATTTCAACAATGATACTTATTTAGATATTGCTGTTGCTAATTATGGTACCAATAATATTGGAATATTTTTAGGAAATCATAACGGAACGTTTACTAATCAAAAAAATATTTCACTTAATTCTTCTCGTCCATTTTTTATAACTATTGGTGATTTCAATAGTGATAATCAAACTGATATTGTTGTAGCTAACTATGGTACTAATACTCTTAGTGTCCTTCTTGGAAATGGTGACGAATCTTTTCAAGATCAAATAACTTATTCTACTGGCTATGATTCTCGTCCATATGCATTAGCAGTTGGTGATTTCAACAAAGATAATCATCTAGATATTGCTGTGGCTAATTATGGTACTGATAATATCGGTATTTTTCTTGGATATGGTAATGGGACATTTGCGAGTGAAAAAACTTATACGACTACTCGGAACTCGAATCCATCTTCTATTGCTGTTGGAGACTTAAATAATGATAATCATCTCGATATTATAGTCGCGAATTATGGTACTGGTAAGATTGGCATATTTTTCGGCTATGAAAATGGTACTTTTTCAGTACAAACAACATTCTCAATAAGCTCCAATTGTCGTCCACATCATATTACTGTTGGTTATTTCGATGAGGACAATCAACTAGATGTTGTTGTTGTTGATTCAGAAAACGATCAAGTACATATTCTTCTACAATATGATAATAGAACATTTGCTACAATAACTACATATGATGGAATATCTGGATCTCGTCCATTCTTTGTCGCTGTGGCAGATTTTGATAAGGACAATCAATCAGATATTGTTATAGCCAACTATGATACTAATAATCTACTTGTATTTAGTAAATATTTTATAACACCATCAACAAGACAAACGAATTATATTGTCGGAAAAGATTCCCATCCGTCTTCGGTCGTAACTTTTGATTTTAACAATGATGGTCGACTAGATTTAATGGTTAATAAGGTTAATGATGATAGTTTACTGATACTAACTGGTAATGATAATGGAACTTTTGAGCAAGCAGCAAAATATTCAACGGGATATAAATCAGCTCCAAAATGCTTATGTATTGGTGACTTAAACAACGACAATCGAATGGATATTATTAGTGCTAATTATGGTTCTGATAGTGTAGGTATTCTTCTTGCACAAGACAATGGAACATTTTCTTATGTGACAACTTACTTTGTGGGTTACGGTTCTAAGCCGTGGTCAGTCGCTGTTGGAGATTTCAATAATGATAGTCGATTAGATATTGTCACTGCAAATCACGGGTCTGGTGGTGTAAGTATCCTTCTTGGACATGACAATGGGACTTTTGCTAACGTGAAGATATACTTTAGTGGTATTATTGTTCAGCCGATATCAGTTGCTGTTGGCGATGTCAACAATGATGACCAGTTGGATATTGTTGCCACTGATTTCATCTCTGGCAATGTGTTTGTCCTTCTTGGACATGCTGGTGGAGTTTTTTCTAATGCAACAACATATTCTGTTGCCAGTTTATCTGGTCCGAATTTCATCAGGCTTGCTGATTTGAATGATGATAATCATCTGGATCTTCTTGTCTCTACTGCAAACGACGGTTCTGTAGTTATTCTCCTTGGATATGGAAATGGAACATTTAAAAAAATGACAATCTATTCAGTTGGCTATGCTTCATCCTTTTACTGCATTGCTATTGCTGATTTCAACAATGATCATCGACATGATTTCGCCGTGACCAGTATCGGGAATGATGAAATAATTATCTTTTATGGATACGGCAATGGCAGTTTTTACCATGGGAGAACGTATTTTACTGGTTTTGGTTCGCGTCCATATGCCATTACCACTATCAAACTAGAAAACAGCAATCAAACATATATAGTTGTTACTCTCGGTGGCATTGGATATGTTGCTATTTTAATTGAATATTTTGCTGCAGAATTTGGAAATCAACAAATATATTTAACTGGCTCAGCTCCACACCCGTATTCTGTAACTGTTGGTAACTTCAGTGATGATAGTTACGCAGACATAGTCATCGCCAATTCAGGAAATGATAATATCGATGTACTTTTCAATTCAGGTAATGGTACATTTGAAACACAAGTAGCGTATTTTATCGGTGCTGATTCTTATCCACGATATGTTACCACTGGTGATATCAATAAAGATAATTATTCAGATATAGTTACTGTTAATTCAAAGAACAATAGTATCAGTATATTTATGGGACATGGTAATCGAACCTTCGATATTCCAAGAATATATTCAACTGGGATCAATTCATATCCGTTGGCAGTAGCTATCGGTGATTTCAATGACGACAATCGGTGGGATTTGATCGTTGCTAATGCAGGTACAGATAGTATAGGCGTACTTCTTGGATTTCGTTATACATTATTTCAAAGTGGGAACACTTATTACAGTGATACTACTCGATCACCAGAGGCTATCGTCACTAGTGACTTCAATAATGATAAATATCTAGATATTGCTGTTGTTTTTTATGTTAGTAATAACATAGGCATTTGTCTTGGATATGGTAATGGAAGTTTTGATGTTTTGATGACTTATTCGACTGGACAAGGTTCACAACCTATATCATTGGCTGTTCATGATTTTGACAATGATGAACAAATGGATATTATCGTTGCTAATTCAGGTACTCATGACATAGGTATCTTTCTTGGATATGGTAATGGAAGTTTCGCTACCATGATAAGATATTACACTGGCGCGATTTCTGATATGATCGCGATGGTCTTAACAGATTTAAACAATGATGGTCGAATAGATATTATCGTGGCCAACTATGCTACTGACAATATAGGTATTCTACTTGGACTTGGTAAATTGACTTTTAGTACGATGATTACTTATCCGATTGGATATGTTTCGCGCCCATTGTTTGTTGCTATTGGTGATTTTGATAATGACGATCAAATGGATATTGTCGTTGCTAATTTTGGTAGTAGTACCATCACTATTTTTTTAGGTTATGAAAATGAAAGCTTTGCAGCTCAAGTGAGTTATTCAACGGGTTATCAATCTTGGCCGGTTGGGATCACTGTTGGAGATTTCAATGGAGACAATCAACTTGATATCGCTGCTAGTAACTATAATATGAATAATGTCGCTATTTTTATAGGATATGGAAATGGTACTTTTGCTCCTGTCATGATATTCTCCACTGGAGATGGTTCTTCCCCACGATTTCTTCAAGCTTGTGATTTTAATAATGATGGCATATTAGATATCGCTGTTGCTAATTATGGAACAAACAATATTGTTGTGCTTTTCGGATTTGGAGATGGAACTTTTCTACTAGGAATAGCATACGAAACTGGTATCGGATCCGGACCGACCGCTTTAGCTATTGGTAATTTTGACAATGGTACTCGATTTGATATTGTCGTTATAAATGAAGCCACAAGCACTATATGCATTTTTTTTGCATATGACACAGAACTTTATGCTGGTGTAACATCATATAGAATGGGCTTTGGGTCACAGCCACACTCACTTGCCATCGGTGATCTGAATAACGATAGTCGATTAGATGTTGTCGTAGCTAATTATGGCACTGACAATGTAGGTATTGCAATTGGGCGTAGTCATGGAGTTTTTGATATTACAATAGCATATTCAACAGGAGTTGGTTCTGCTCCATATTCTGTTTCTCTAGCTGATTTTAATAACGACAATCAAATAGATATTGTTGTTACTAATTCTGAAACTGATAATATTGCCATTCTGCTTGGTTATGGTAATGGAACGTTTGTCATTGAAGCAACATACTCAACCGGTGCTCGTTCTCGACCATACACAATAGTTGTAAGTGATTTTAATAATGATAATATACCGGATATTGCTATTGCGAATTCCGGTACTAACAATATATTTCTACTTTATGGATATGGAAATGGATATTTCGGAAACGAAACTTCTTATGCTCTAGGATACGGATATCGTCCGTACTCAATTGTAATCAAAGACTTAAATCAAGACAGTTGGGTGGATATTGTCATTGCATGTTATGGCACAGATCATGTAGAAACTCTAATAAAAATGTGTTAGTTTCGCTGACATTACATATATTTTTTCGTTTTCTCTTTACACTTGTATTAACTAGCCAAACATTTATTTTTATTAGAATGAATTATTGTTTTTTCCTTTTTTTTGTTATTCATATGAGACTAATCATTTCATCAATAAATATATGTTCGTACGATGATTTTGACATAACATGATAAATGTTGATATCATTTCACAGAGTAAGAAATATATAAGTATGACTATCGTACGTGCCTTACTCATGTTTGTTTCCGACTAAAAACAAATTTGTTATATGTAATAAATCAAAAAGAAGAAAATAATATAGAAGAAAATGAAAAAATTGTTTTGATTGTATATATTATTAGATATATACGCCTGGAAAAAATAAGCTGTAATCTGTATTTTGGGAATATCGTTATCATAGCAGCGTATTTTTAAAAAAATAATGATATATTCTGAAAGTGCGTGGAGTTTTCTATCAACATGTATATTTGCCTTTTCGTTTGAATATATGTATTACGAAAAAAAATTGAATGTAATGAAGGCACCCTCATGTCCAGATTCCGACAGGCTTGATTTTATCACTGTCACCAAAATTAGTTTTTAAAATTTTTCATCACTATAGAATCACCGTTTGAAAAAGATAATTATATATTCTGATAGAGCTTGAAATTCTCTATCATCCTGTATATTTGTTAACTAGTTTGCAGTTATGTGCCGGAGAATAATTCGAGTATTACGTCGACACGCTCCTTGACAAGCTCTAAAAAGAAGTCACTGTTTTACTACATATCTCGTTTTTTGTTTCAAAAGTACACGATGATAGAGAATTTCAAGCTCTATAAGAATCTTTAATTCCTTTTTTAGAAATGTATTTGTGTAGTAACTATATTTTGAAAAAAGGAAAAACGTAACGATTTTCGGTACTTGTCAATTGACGGTGTGTTCACTGTACTCAAATTTTCTTTTCGATAAATGAATATAAGTAAATAAGTGAATATACAAAGTGATAGAGAATTTCAAGCTGTATCAGAATATATAATTACTTTTTTCAAAAGGTGATTCTATAGTGATGAAAAATTTTAAAAGCTAATTTTGGTGACTGTGACAAAATCAAGCCTGTAGGAATCTGGACATGAGGGTGCCTTCATTACACTCAGTTTGTTTTGGTAATACATATATTCAAACGAAAAGGCAAATATACAGGTTGATAGAAAACTCCACGCGCTTTAAGAATATATCATTATTTTTTTTAAAATACGCTGTTATGATAACGATATTCCCAAAATACAAACTACAGCTTATTTTTTCCAGGCGTATATTTTGACTTTGATTTTCGAAGACATCCGTGTAAACAAACATTTATCTGTTTGCGAATTAATGAGACGCAGTCATCGTTTTCTCTTTTCATGTAGTCTAGATTAATATTTAGGTTCTTTAATGTGTATTATTACCTAATACTCTCGGTTTCAAAATGCAATGCTGATATTGATTATATGAATCAATTTTGACAGAAGATAAATAGAGTACAGTCATGATCTAAACACATATTTTTCATGTAAAAGTCTGTTTCGAAAATATTGAAAGACCGATGTTTGAAAAAACGCTCCAAATTCACCTTGTATTTTGAGGAACTAACACAGGAAATAATCAATTCTTCTCATAGGCAGATAGTATCGATACTGGTTCATAGATCTATGAGGATATGCTTATTTCGATCTATAATATGAGTTAACTAAACTAAGTCTACTCTCTTCAGAGATTATCATTGAACCGACAAGGTAAACATTATGTTATTAGTTTTAATGATCAACAAATAAAAACTTTCAATATTGGTTCAAATTCAAGTTCATAGTTATTAAACGAATATTTTCATGTTTTTGCAGTTTTTGATGAAAGCATAATGGTATTTTTGTCATTTCGATAAAGTCAATTGATCGATGGGTGGGTGTGGGTGTTAGTATGACACAGAGCAAGACATCCACACCCACACCAACCTCCACACTCACCCACATCCACACCCATACTCACACCCACACGCACCCTTTTTTTAAATTTACCTTTAATTTTAGTACAAAAAAGACATACGAATGGAGGGTGTGGGTGTGGGCATCAATGGGTGGAACACTCCACCCACACCCTAGTTTTACATGAGCACTCTCTGAATATTAAAATGTCTCATTTCCATGTACTCCCGTTTGCGTCGTTTGTAACTATCCTTGAGATTCAGCTTTAATTTTGTCACTAGTTTAATAATATTCGAAATTATATATACTTACGTGATAAGAGATGTTGGAATGTACGAGTTATTTTTCTTGTGGTCGTAACCGATCTTGTTATGTATTTATCGTTGGCGAAATTAGTTGGTTTTTCGCATTCTCGAACAAGGTGCATGCTATGCCATGTGCTAAGAATCTGACATAAATACATATATATGCTTGTTTTCTTTTTTTCTGTCAGGTATTTTTCCTTAGTATTTACTCTTGGATTTTTTCTTTCTCTCTTGGAGTAGGTATAGACGCAGGTATTGATTAGTCAAGACTAAGGGAGGGTGTGGATGTGGATGAAGAGAAGAGTAGATTTCACACCTACATTCACACCCTTTCTACGATTCTCAAGATTTATCATTTGATCGACAAGGCAATCTCTATGTTGTCGACCTTGGCAATGATCGAATATAACGATTCAATATTGATTCAAGTTTCGATTTGTAGTAATATAGAATAACCTAGAATGAACTGTCGTGATAGTTTCATATGTTTGCTTTTTCTAAAAACCAAACTGAAAGAATAGCAGTAAATTTGAAGTTTTCTAGAAATCTTCAGATGTTCATCATTAAACAAATATGTTCATTACATTTCTGCTAAGATTGTTGGTGTATGAGTTTAGACAGATAATTAAATAAATGGATCAAACACTGTTTATGACTTACCTAATTACATAGTATGTAATTAGGAAAATGTCAATAATAAAAAAACATGCTGAGAAAATATCATTGATACAAGATATGTCAAATGATTCAGTTTCGTAGATTTATACTTAATTATCGAACTATTTATTCACACCAATATTGAGAATAATACAATACAAAATTTTTATTGGCAGACTTGAATAAAGGTGTTCGATTTTATATCATACAAAGCTAATAAAAACTCTAGCTTAGTTTCAAAATCTTCCAAGAAAGAATAGTATTTCATTATTTTATCCGAATTTAGATTGATTCTCAAAAATGATAGAAAACCTTGTTCCATGTCAATTCTCATTTTGTCAACACTAAGAATTATTTTCGTATTTGAATATTTTGATAAATATGCTCTGCATCATATAATAAAAGAAAAAAAAAACAGTTAGCTCCAAGAGATTATGGAAAGTTTACAAGGTTTTTGCTAAGATCATGGAATGAATGATTTCTAATTACTGAATTGCAACTGTCACTAATAAAATTATTATAGTACGATTAAGAGTTTTTTTTTGTGAGTATTTGTATTTTGTCATCAATTGAAATCTGCTGTGCTACAAAGCAATTAAAGAGTCAGTATAATTCAAAAAATGTTCACAATGTCCATGTAATCTATAATGAATAACAATACTAAAGCAAATTAGTTTAGTTCGAAAATAGTAGCTACGAGTTAACTATAAGTCTGCCAGTTCTAAGTTATATGAAACAAACCAAATTGAAGACTGATAAAAAGCTGTTAGCGCAATCCCTTCGGGGATTGAAATGTGAAACANGAATTTTATACTTTGGAAGCTCGAGGGGCGTGGGTGTGAGTCTTGTCTTCAATCACATTCACACTCATACGCTTATTGAATCTTATTCAAACCATGATTACAGTGATAGTAAACCTTTTACAGTGTTCTAATGAAATAACTGCAGTTATTGTGTGTTTTCATCATTTAGAAATCATTTATGTAAAAGAGATATACATTTAATAGTGTCATTCTAAGTTGGGCCGACTCGAGCTATCAAAATGGTGTCCGATATCAAGGCCTGATGTGGTTCTTCTCTTCGCTCACACACACATTCACTGTCACACCAACCTCTTCATACAAGATTCGGTTTGATGAGTTCGTTCGATTGAAAAGAAAGATATTTTGATTTGAAATGTGTTTTATACGGAACAATTTTCGAAGATCGCTCTCATTTGCAATGGTTTCGAAGAGGCGATGACTTATATAATTATTGTCTGCGAGTAATCGACCGTCTATTTCAGTCGACGTAGATAACAAATGTCTTCTCGAAAGTTCACAGTTGTGTTGGATTATACTGAACTGAAAATTATCGAATGAAGCATTTTTTTAGCTCTATTACACAATATCACTGACGATTAAACCTACTGTTTGTGATAGTCCCGAAGCGACTAGACCAGTAATATAAGCAGTATATTCTGCCTGTCGATTACGTGTCTTTTCAAGATAGATAGTATGCCGTTCGTGTGCCATTTGTGTAATCTTCAATGATGTAGTGATTGCCTTGTTGGATGCTTGTCGGAGATGAGCTTTTCGTGCTTCATCTGTTTGTAAAGTTAACAATCGAATAAAGAATTTTCGATCAATCGGATCGACCAATAAGTTATCGACTTGAGCTATTTTAATGACTTCGACGAAATTTTTGACAACGACCTATATAACGAAAGAATCTCTTGATTATACTGGTCGATTGCAGAAAAACGAAGTCATTCATACCTGTTGAGTACTATGGGCTTGAACAGCTAATTTCGAGAAGAATCAAATCATGCGACTCCATTGTTCTTTGATCAAACTGATTTCTTGAGTTGCTTCGAGGAGAAGTTGAGCAATTTCTTCCGTACTTAAGATACTCAAGTCGAGCATAGCCATTTGTCCCATGGCCTTAATCAATTCATTCTGCTCGGCTAACTGTTGTTGAAAATGTTCACTGTGAAGTTGTTCTGCTTTTTCTAGATCTTGTCGAGCTTGTTCAGCTATTTTTATGGTATTCTCAAATTTGGTATTATCTATAACTGGCTCCGAATTTTTGCAACCACCCAAAATACAGCCAATGGTGCCAACTGGATCGAGTACAACACCAATGGCGAGCTTAAGGATATCCATGAGAGAATTTGATTGGCCACCAATGATCGTAGGTATTGATGAATCTGTAACAAGTTGCATGGCTTCGGCATACTTTTTCATGGCATTTTCAAAAGCTGCTTTAAATGCATTGTATTGATTCTGAATAGTATTGAGATTGTTCTGAAGACGTTCTTGGTCAAGAGTCAATTAATTTTTCTTAGCTTCCATGTCATAAATTGCGGGCTTTATTGGCTCCTTGTATGTTTTCACTCAACTCAATGATTTCAGCAAGTAATTCTTGTAATAAATTGAAATGTTGCAAAGTAGAATTGGCAATATCAGCGCTTTCCGTTAGTAAACGTCCGATACTCTCGAGAGTTCGTAGTAACATTGATTTAAGCATGCCTTCGATGCTGAAGTAATCAATTTCATTGCTGTTTTCACATGTGTGGATACTTGTTGAATGGCCAATTAAATACGATCCACGACTGTGTAAGCACCCACTAATGCATTGTACATATTCAACGATACTTGAGCAAGAGTGGCACGAAAAGAATTTGGATATCTATTCAAAATCAACAACATATGGGTATATCAAAGCGTTTGTAAGAGAGATGAATTTTCAACAAAAAAAAACAATTTTTCGATTTCTAATATAACGCAGAATATTTTTCATGGTATTCTTAATAACTCACCTAATATAACGATAAATGTAGCCTAGTGGAGCTTGGAAAGGAAAATCACGTTTGCTGGCAAGAACCATAAGATTGCCCATGTAACCAACAACAATTGGGCCGGATACCATCAATGTTTCCTATTCTTTGTCGATTTTCGTCTGTTGTCTTAGTTGATCATCACGCAAAGGATCGAAAATGCTATTGTCAACACGAAGTGCAAGACCTAGATGAAACAAGGAAATAGTTGAGAGAATCTCAGAACTTTTTCACACAACCAACCACCAATTGAATCTTCATTACTGAGTAAATAATCCAGAAATGGATTTTCTGTTGGATCGATAAACAATGTGTGAGACACAGAACGTGCCGAGATCGATGACCATGTCACCAATTGTACAAATAGCAAATACATATATACTATAAATAAATAACCATAAAGAGAAAGCGGAAGAAATGTAAATCAGAATTTACTAGAGAGAAATTTCATTGTACTTGTTTGTTAATTGCATGATGTTTTGAAGCGACATTTGTACCATGATAGATCGAAAAACAGGTGTTAAAGACATAATTCATTTTCTCATGAATATTTATTGTTATTTCATATTTTCGCCGAAGATTAAAGACTGAAATCAAACCAATTTGATCGATGATAATATCCATTCGAAGCATCATCACAATAGGCTTTTTGTAGATGGGAAAGAAAACTTAGTCGACACAGTTGTTTTTCTTTATTGTCTTGCATTGTTTAAAGCATATAATAGGACTCCAGTCGAATGAAAATCATTTATCTTAAAACGCGAGTTTTGTATATAAGAACACGAGGAAAATGCGTAAGTAATAAATTGAAATCTGATGGAAATTTTTTTGTCGATTGTTGGTTGTAACTAAGCATTTGATGTACTATTTTTAAGTGCAATTATGGTTGCTTGGGCTGACTATGTTGCAAATAGCCTCGGCAATGGGCACTTCATCGCTAGCGCATACGGTCTTCTTACCATCGGACAAATCGTCGAATCCATTCAGCGATCGATTTATACAACGATTAGTGACAATGGACCGCAAGCAACTGTGCATGATTCCTCCTATGAATGATGATCAGTTTCTCTCGGAATTAGCACAAGATATAGACACTTTCGGTGGTGAGTGTTGAATCTAAATATGTTCTAATCTGCATATTTATTTTGAAGGATCTCTGCTCCGTTTGAACGATGATGATGATGACTTTGATGAGTCGATATTTGACGATAAACTGGATGATCAACTGGCTATGCAGGATAAAATCGACGGTGAGTGGGAACATCTGATGATATCTGGACCGCTAGTAGTCAATTATATTTCCAATCTTCTCGTATTGGCTAGTAAAAGAGATTTTCCCTTGTCACGACCACCAGTCTTCGTTTTTCAACACATCAAAGACCCGAATTCTTTTCGAGCAACTATATCCCAAGTAGTCGGAGCCATGTATTCGGCATTAATAGGTGCTCATACGGCCATGGATCGTATTCAACTCAATGTTCAGCAAGTTCCTGGTCATGTCAAAACAGCTCTCAAATTGGTGATTGCTGGTTCACCATTGCTTATCCAAGTCATGCTACCGAAAACACTAGAAACCATCGGTCGGATCGCTACAGAGAGTGCTGGACATGCTCAAACAACTTTCAATAAATTCGTTGCTTTGCAAGATCTTGTTGCCGAAATCATCGAAGCGAATGTAAACACACACTCAACTCAGTCGGATGTTGTCGCGCAAATCCAAGCACAAATCAATGCAGCTAAACAAGAACAGCTTCAATTCAATGCTAATATTAATAGCATCACTGCTCAGTATGAAGATGCTCGAAAAGAGGTGGAAAAAGCTCGAAAAGAATATCAGGAAGCCTACAATGCCATTCCAACGTTTCGTGGTTGGTTCAAGAGCATTTTCCGTAAAATTATCAATGTTGTAGTAAAAATTATCACTGCTCCACTGCGTATCCTTGGTTGTATCCTAGGTAAGTGCTACACAAATCAGAATGCATTGAATGAAGCTGCAGAGACAGCCAAACAAAACGCCAAAGCAAAGGCTGCAGAACTCTTAAAAGTTTTGCAAGAAGCAGAAAGACGTCAGCAAGAATTTGCTCAGCAACAACTTGCCGAGCAACAAAAATTGGTGACCATCATAAATCGGATTGCCGCATTGGATTTAGATCGATTGACTGAACAAGAAATTGTCGATATACTCATTGAATCAATCTTACAAATGAATCAAATTAAGGAACAATGGGGTCGTCTTATTCAATTCTTCTCGAAATTATCCGTTCAAGCTGATAGTACACAACAGGCGCGTAAAGTGTGCTGAACTTTAATCAGTAGAAAACTTCTTGCTTTCTTTTTAGATCGTCATTCACGAGTTTATTGCTGCTATTAAAGAAGCTCAAGCTAATAATTTACTTCTTGATCCAAGCGATCGAGAATTGTTTCTAGAATTAATTACCATAACTAGCCAAGAGATCGAACGAGGTGCCCATCTTCTCTATGTTATGTCTAAAACATATTTTGATGTTTCATCTGAATATATGATCGATCAAATAATTGCGTCTGGTAATTTACTTCTACTGCAAACCGACACAGAACGATCGAATTATCTTCGTTCACTCTCTCAAAATACTACATCTACAACGACACGAGTAAAGAACCTAGCCCATGAGCGACATCAGGAATATATCGCACGAAACCAGGCTCGTCGTACTGAATACGAACGATTTTTGGCTAAATTGGCATTAGAAGATTTGGAATCAAACGTTGGTTGATATCATAGACTTATCATGAAAAATAAATAAATGAGCATGCCACATTAGTAATCTAGTCAAATTCAAGAAAAAAGAAGAGAAAAGGAATTTTCACTCTGCTGTTAAATGAATAAAGAGGAAAGTCAACAGATATACGGTCATTGACGCTATCAATCTATAGTACTGTACCATTTTTTTGAAATTTACATTCATTTACCTTAATATTTTATATTTACAAATTGCCATAATTCTTAATTACTAAAAAAACAATTTCCGACGTCAAATATTATGAACACGTATACATTCAAGATTTTTGTACTATGGTGTTTAATCAAGAATTGAGATATAAACTTTTATTTGTAATCAGACTCAATAGTATAATCCAATTGCAATGCTATACTAACTAAATAATATATATAATGAAACCAGTAGAATTCTTTTGTCGACTGGTTATTACAGTTCCACAAAAATATATAATATGAAAATATTTTCATTGTTGTATGATGCAAACAGTTGACGTTACTTTCTTAATAGAATAACACATTTTCTGATATTTTTGTATCGCAAGAATGAATTGGAAACTATTAGGGATTGAAAGTTTATGACAATCGGCTAAGGAGGTAGTCCAGAAAATGAGCTCGAAATTTTGAACGTAAAAACTCTTTACTTTAGATTTAATTTAATTTCTGATAACTGGCGAACAATTTGTAATCATAATAGATTGTCAATTGGAAACTTACACGTTCATATTTGTGAATTGTTAAAGCTATGGAAATCGATAAGAACGCGCAAAATAGACTAGCTTCAGTACACTAAAAATCAATGGAAAAAACTATGACAATCGGTCGGCTTTAAAATTCAAGCGGACGGAACTGATTTCAACTTTAGTACGAACTTACTGTGCTGAGATAAATCTTATCTGTCATAGCAATGTCATATTTCCATGTTCATCTCTACACAAGATGGAGACATATTTGTTATTCTCATAATTTATCATGTTTTTGACTTTCTGAATATAGCACACAACTTGAAAATGAAATTTTATTACTATGTGACGCTAAATATTACTTAACTCTTTACCACTTGATACTCCTTCCATAGAATGACCGATGAAACAATCATAAGAATAGCTTCCTCATGTATTAATTATGATATCAGTGGAGTTAAATTTTGATGAGATCATGTTACTATGAAGATGTAGAATGTATTAAATATGGCCTATTCGTCTTGGATAACATAAAAATTCATTTTTGTTGTTAATTTGATATTTTTACAGTTTTTTGTAGTTGTGTTGTCATTGCGTCTGTCTAAAACTGGAAATATATTTATCATTATTTATTGTTTGAAAAACGTTCTGTTTCGAGTTATGATGTATAGTTAAACACTTACCAAGGTGATTATTTTCCTTTTAAAATTAATTCATTCATTTCCTGATTGAGATCAGAATCATTAGTTTTCATTAGTACGAATTTCAATTCAAAATCACCAATTCCTATTGTGAAAATTTCGCTCAGAAGAAATGTCATAACAAAAGCCGCAATTTTCTATCTATTATCAGTAAAAAGTTATTCAAAAATGGTTGCATAACACTTTTTCACTCGCTATAAGTTCTAATAAAATTTTTAGCATAAAAATCGTGTTATTTTATGAATTTTTATCGAAAACAAAATAATTCTAGAAAAATAATTTTTCATGTTACTCATCACAAATAGGTCAAAAATGATTGAAATATTTCATGAGAAATGTTGCTTTCACATCTTCAATCGAAAAATTCTTACAGATCACTCTGCAAATAAATACTATGATTGTAGTAATATACATCAGCGGTGCCGACATCCGAATAATCAGTCTCTATAACTGAATAAAGCAGATTTTTTTTACTTTCTACAAAAATAAAACAACATTCTCCAACTCGTATTCCTCCGTCAAGGAATGATGAAAAGGAATTCAATTTTTGTTTTCGAATCGTGGAATAGATAAATTAAAAGAAGAACTTTGAAAGAGATCCACTTAATGCGCGTTAATCATCATCATTGCTTTTGTTTATAATTGAACAAAATCAAATCATAATGTTGAACTTAATTGATAAATAAAGTATTTAAAACAAAATTTTCAACTAATAATGAATGATGAAGTATTAGTTGAAACGAATATATCATGTACTACTGAAAACGAGCGAGATAAAAAAATGACCGATATTTTCATTTCTATTCGCACTATTTTCATAAGGATAACTTACTTCTGTCAAGTGTGAACAATCACGTATTTCTTTCACACAAAAACTGCAAAAAACAATGCGAAATATAAAATTAAAGACATTTCTTATTGAAAATGAACGAATTGCTGGAGTTAATCATATCTTTGTGTACTTTCAAATTGACCAAACGTTTGATTTCGGTCACTATAGTCAAATTATTTCAATTGTCGACATTGTATATATAATCAAGTATATTATATTTCTTTGAATCAGATGAAAATGTTGACGATGTCTTAGATCGACAAGTTTGAAAGGAAATCATTTGTTCATCAACTAAATTCAATCGAAAGCCATATTCCGATTTTTCATTATTAATTTGTGAACCTCGGTTATAGCAACACATATTTCCATTCGTACAATCTCGTACAACAAGTTCATTCAAATGGCATTGTAGATTATTTATTGAAGATGAATAAATTAGTGAAGATATTCTGTAGAACGTAGTTCAAGTTTCATTTCATGCAATGTGTAACAGATGATTAACCATATAAATTCTGTCACATTCGTCATCAATAGCACAAAAACTGATCCAAATAACTTTTGATGCTCGTTTACGTTGAAAATTTAATATTGCTTTGTGTACTTCGATTATCATTCTAGGTTTTGAATTAATATCATCAGATATATTAGCACGATCACTATGATAATCAAATGTACGCGATGCAATATCATTTTTATAATCAATATTTAATTCAACATAATAAACACAATGTTGAAAACGTGTTGGACATTGGAGGAAGAACAAACGACGATAACTGATCAAATGATACGAGAAAGAAACATTGAGTAATAAATTGGTATTGTTTTTCAATAATGTACTCATGTGCACCGTAACCGATTAATATGTTGCTAAGGTTGTTGACAACAATGATAGTGCAAAGAATAATGAAGATACAATATGTAAAAATATTCATTTGTTTTTGTTTTCTCAATTTTTAAAATGAAATGAGATTATCCAATAATTCTTTCTTGTTGCTATTATGTTATCACGTGCACATGTCTTAGTAAGAACACGAATACATGCGTGGAAACAAATATTAGAATCGATATAAAACACTGTTTTTTATCAAATGATAATTTTATTTAAAAAAATCAAATACGATATTTCCTCTGATTTCAATTAAAAGACGAAAATTCAAAAGTTTTCAGCTTAATTTCTATCAGATTAAAATGTGAATGACAATTAGAATAACTTTGATGACACATAAAGATCCTCGCTAAATTTGCCATTATTCGACTTGAGTCGGTAGAGTAACTTGTTTTATGCCTGTTACCGTCTACGATGAAGTGACAAAAGAAAAATACGAAAACGTTTTAAGTTTGATCGATTCGAATGAAACCGATACTGAGATAATCATACGACTTGACTAAATTCAATGAAAATCGAACTGTTTGACTACAGATTTTTTTTCTCACCTATATGACACCAAAGAAGAACGTTTTTATTTTTGATTCTAAACCAGATAAGAAGAGAAGAGAAAAGCATGCTAATTGAGTCCTCAAAAGAAATAACTTTAATGGAGGAGAAGAAGGAGTCATGACAACACATAATTCCCTCTGACGAGTGGAGTTCTTTCTTCATCGGAAAAAAAGATGTCATAAAGAATCAATGAGACTTTCGTGTTTGCTACGAAACTTCAAAAATTTTCGATTTCATTGCAAAAATAGTTCGATGCGACATGTTATTTGTTAAGTGTTCCACTGATGAGAGAACTCATTTAACTGATAAACATTTTAAGAGACTGGACCAGGCTTTCCGATTAGGGGGGGGGGGGTGCTATTTCCTCCCAAAATTGTGTGTCTGTCTGCAAAATTTTTAATACTGTCTGCTAATATTTTACCGTTGCTGGAAGAAATGACTGATTGTATGGGAGTCCAAGGGAGGGGGGATACGGTACGACCTAGTGAAAACTGGTGTCGTTTCTTCCCTCTTCCTCTCCGGTCAACAGTTTTAATGCCAGAAAAATGAGAACATTGTCTGCCAAAATTTTAGCATCCCGCCCCCCCCCCCTCCCTCCTTCCACTCTTAAAAACAATCGACAACCCTGAACTGGACATGGCTTAGATAGATTATTCATAGTACAATAGATATTTTAAAGATAAAGGCGAAAACCTTTCTTCTTATTAAATTGTTTTGTTATTCTTGATGTACATTTCTTAATGCACTATTAGTAAAATACGTTCTGAAACAAAACTAGAGCCATCAAACATATATTACAACTTCATCTAAAGTCCTTCATCGAATATTTATTTGTTAGAATTTTCAGCTCCGGATGATTCGGAGCATATTTTACTAACACCGTATTCAGAAATGTACATCAACAATAATTAAACAATTTAATAAGAAAAAAAAGATTTTCTTCTTCATCTGTAGAATATCCATTCTACAGTAAATAATTTATCTACAGCACGTTACATTTTGTAAAAATGTGCCTTTATTTAGATATGAAAAAGAACAATGTTAACTGAAAATATATAGTAATGATGGCATTTCTTTAAAGATTTGTCACATTTGTTTCTGTGAAAGAGAGTAACGATGGCAAGAACTATTTTAGAGTTTTTTATCTACACTCTAAGCTCTGCTTATAGGTAAAATATGAGTTTGAACAAAAATTATCAGTTGAATGGATTTTCTTGTGATATCAATGACAAAATGTCTAAAATTAGTTTCCAGTAACCTGTGTTCAAATATAAGATGTTACTCGCAACCAATAAACTTCAACAAGTTTGTTTAAATTCCGATAGAACTCTCTAAGGACAATGATACGAATTTGTTTTTATTAGAAAATCTTATGCTGACTTTGCTTGATTTGAACAGTTGTTCCATGTGTTAGTCCCGGACTTAATAAAAACATAATCTACTCAACATTGTTGTATTGTCAAACAGGATTTTTCTCTGAAAGAATATACAATGTTAATAGAAACGAAAATTGTATCTCTGAATATTCGACATGAAATCAACATCGATACAGATTTCGTTATCGATTCTGATAAAGTCTAGAGAATATGCTAGTCAAATACAGGCAAGTTACTGTCGATACTTTATCAGTCAAATAAGCAACTATGCACAATTATTAACTGCTCAAGACACATCCATGACCTACGAACTGGAAATTCTATAGAATTCACCAATAAAACCATCTCTACATTGACACAAGCAAACAAAAATCAACGAAGTCGACATATTCAAAAAATACAACAGAGTCAAAGAATTCATTAGAATTACAAGAATATAATAGAATTCTATTGTTGACAATCATAGAGAAACTGTAGTCGTTTTAACTATCGACCAATATGAAGGAATTCAAGAAATGGAAAGATGATGTAGCTGTATGGGTGTAAATATCTCTTCATGAATACTCATACGCACGCCCAGACTCCACCTAAAACAGGTACAAAAGAAAAATACTCAATGTGTTTTCAAACAGTTGTTTTTCTATCAATTGTTTCTTCGCACACAACCGTATTCATTCAAGTACACCTTGGAACTAATAGTTATGCTGGTAGTACACATGACTGTACATGAATTCTATCTGAACCATTCAAGTCTTAAAATAAGCAACTGACTTAAATAAGTTTGACAATAAAATAATTAATTTTCGTTTCTGTTCAGTTATTTAACTATTGGGAAGTTGAAGTGTCGCCAGTGACTGAGCTTATTCTTTTAGAGAAAAGAGTGCTATTGAACATGGTACCAAGATATTAGGGTATGTTGGCTATATTGTTCGAAAAACACTCTTCTTACCAACGGTTTTCTTCCTTTTTTCACAGGACATTGTCTAATCAAGCAGATACATCAAGACAATTTACTAGAATGATGATAGGAAAAGAAGAACTTATTGGATATGCTGGTCAACAACTATAGATATTCAAGAAATTTTTTATATTACAACAGTTATCGAGATCAAGGAATGAAAGTGTTTCAATTGCTTTCATCATATAAAATATCATACTTTTGTTTTAATAATTCAATACTAAAATGCAAAACTCTTAATTTCCTTCAAACTCAATAATCTCCTTGATTGAGAATTCGTTTGGACATTCTAAAAGATATAACCAACATTCGTCAAAAAGAAATATAGACAGGAGGAAAAAAAATCATAATAGATTTGAGAAGTATCGAATTAATGGATGTTCATTGTAGAGACATATACGTGACGATTAGGGAAGTGTGTCATTAGGCATATGCATGATATACATTGAGAGAATAATGGTCGTAGACAATATAACAGTGAAAAATATAATGCGAACAGATTTTAATTCTTCTGCTGGAAATTTTTGTATTTGTTTCCTAACAAAATAATCAAGAATAGGAGTTAAAAAAACTTCATTTTTCTCAAATATTTCTTGTAGTATATAAGTTTAGATTGAAGTATGTAAAACTTTGATATCATTGGTAAAGGACTGTATCAATCAAAAGAATTCAATTATTTTTTAGCGAAATTGCTTTTGATTACAATGAGTCTGTCAATAAACATAAAGTAAAAAGTTGGTTAGCCCAACCCTTTGAGGATTGAAATATGAAACTCATATGTGTTCTTTACCTCATTATACTAATACACGGTACTAAAGTGAAAAATCTGTCGCAGACTATTATTGTTTTCCGAGATAATCAATGACCAAAGAAGCGATTTGTCCTATTTATTTTTGTATTCCGAACAGAGATTCTTCCTGTTTCTTTCCGGTGCTCTATTATTTGTTCGTCTTGTCATTATTCACTCGTTATTTTTCTTTTTCATATTCCATTTTTCTTAATTTAACATTATTATTATTATTATTATTATTATTATTATTATTCTAGCGATTGATTTCATTGGCAAATAGAACCATTGTACATATCCATTATTTCTACAGTAGGTCTCGAGGCACTATAATACTATATCTTGATAGGCTCACAAGCAATGATATTGATTATGACTCAGTTATAACTTGATTAGTTCACGCTTTTTATGTTGATCATATGATCATTATGACAAATCAATGCATCACTACTACTCATCAATTTTGATATCTTAAGTATACGTTCTTATCTACACTATTTAGAAGATTCACAAACGTATTTCAACCATTCAAGCTTCGAGGAAGACTTTGACACATTCTAGAATTCTACAGAACAGTCTAAGCAAGAGGAAAAAAGAGACTTATCTATTCCAAAGTTCAGTGAAGTGCCGTACCTCATTCGTACTTCACTGTACCTTACTTGTACTTCGCTCGTTCTTTGGAATACTGAGGTATCGCCTTTTCCCGTCCCTAAGTAAGGTACTCAGAGAAAAGACTCTGCTGCCTCTTGTCATCGATGACTAAAGTCTGTAATGGAGGTGAGAGACAGGATGAAGAGTCGCAAAAATTCGACTTCAAAATTACGCTTCCTATTTTCTTTGAAAATATATACGAGTTCCACAAAATCATTGTCTATATGATACTTATTGAATATAAAGTTCAATTTAATATGAGTATGAATAACGAACATACGAGGTGTAGTGAAAAAAAGAAATTCATGAAATATACTAAAAATATGGTAATCATGATGACGCCTCATTCTCGAAAGATATATAATTTTTGTATAGAGGAAATTGATAAAGACTCCAAAGAGAAGTATACAGAAGAGTTGTGTAATGAAATACTTGATAATAATAAATATTCTGTTATTTATTGATTGTTCATATCCCTGCATAGATAGCTATTTCATCCCAACCCTTATATAAAGATTCTTAGCTCACTTTAATAATTATACGTAGCTATATCAATATCATTAGGCTACATATTTATTATGATTGTTGTTTTTCTTTTGAGCAAGGAAGGCAAAGATTGAATATACTTGGA